ATATGCGTGCGAGGATAATCTTCGTGAAGAGCTTGTACAGCACACTCAGCAGGCATATTGGACGGTAATTTCGAAGATCTTCCCGTTCACCCTTCTTAAAAAGAAGGACGGTTCTTGACGTTCTCCACTGGTCGGGAATCCTCTCCTTCTGAAGGTAAGATGTCAGGTGCGACGCGAGAATCTCGTGTAGACGTTGTCCTCCGGCTCGCAGAAATTCAACGGAAAGATGGTCTGGTCCTGGAGCCGTGGATGTCTTCATGGTCTGGATCGCCGTGCGCACTTCAGCAGGTAGAATTCGTGGTGGTACTTCTCCAGTGGGAACAACGGGCATCGGCACGGGTGTTGATGAGCGGAAGAGGTTGGTATAGAAGTTCTTCGCGATAGATTCCATCTTGTACCGGGAAGAAGTCGGAGTCCCGTCTTCGTTCAATAGTGCAGCCAGCGGTACGTGATATTCACAGAGGTCCCTTCGGCATTTCTTAAGACTTCGTCTTTCTTCGGCTGCTTCCAGTATCTTGGCTTGCCTGTGCTTCCTGAGATCCTCCTGCAAAGCTGTTCTGCAACTGGCGTTGGCTATCAGTCGCTCGAGATGGGTTGCATTCGGATCCTGCCTCGAAATCTTCCACTTTCGAGCAATTCCTTGGTGGTCTTCGATATACGTTCCAAGTTCTTCTCAGAAGTCACTGAGGCACATTCTCCGCAGGCTCGCAATCCTTTCAGAAGCCGGTCGTAGTCATACGTTGGGTCCTCCTCGATGGGCCAGTCACATCTTGATATGAGCTCCTCCAGCCTGTTACCGTCGTAAACGACTTCCTTCCTTCTCGCGGCACTGTGACAGACTTTCTTTTCCAGCCTTCGGCTGAGTCGTATCTTCGCTCGAAGGAGGCGGTGATCGGAGCCACTGCAGAAGGATGGAACTACTGAGACATCGAGCAAGCTCCACCTTCGGTTGGCGAGAATGTAGTCGATCTCCGCGTGAGTCGTTCCGTTGGGCGATTCCCATGTCCACCGGCGATGTTCTTTCTTCATGAAGATGGAATTTCCATGGAAAAGTCGTGCGGCGGAGAGAAGCCCAACAAGACGGTTGCCGTTTTCGTTCCGGAGCCCATATCCAAACTTCCCGATCCTATATTCCTTTTCTAGTGGCATCCCGATTTTCGCATTGAAGTCGCCCACAACATACTTGTAGAAGGACTTTTCGTTGCGGACGACCTCCTCCACGTCTTCGTAGAAAGCATCTAGTTCTGAGTCGTCAGCTGCTGATGTTGGAGAGTAGCAGTTGATGATGCTGATGGTCTTCTGACGTGGAGGGCGTAGTCGTAGGATGGCTAGTCGGGGTGATAGGATCTCGTGCGAATCGACAAGATGGACGATAGATGGGTGGACGACAAAGCCAACACCTCCCACGTTTCGTGATGGAACCTTCTCACCACGAATGATGAGTGTTCCATCATTCATCTGTCGCACGTCCTTCTTCCTGGACTTCGTTTCCTGCAGAGCGATGATGTGGTACTTGATGTGCTCTGCAGCGTCGAGAAGAGCGTGGAGGTCGGCGTTTGTGGAGACTGTCCTGGCGTTGTAGGTGCAGAGCATGAGGCAGTCTCCGTGGCGTGTCGTCCGGGCAGACGTGTCGTTTTTGTCCAATCCAAAAGGCGCCCTGGTACTTGAGCACTCCCATTATAAAAGTCTCACCCACCCTTCACCCGGCACTTTTTCTAAAAGAGCCCGGGCAAAGTATATATTTTCTGGAAGCGAAGGACGAGGCGGTTCCAAAGGTGACCATCACGGCGTACAAGATGTTCATCTACAAAGTTGTGAATTTTTATATGTTAGAAACTCGAAAATCTCCAAAAATCACTTGGACACCCTTCACCCAGGCACTTTTTTAACGGAGCCCAGGCAAAGTACATATTTTCTGGAAGCGGAGGATGAGACGGTTCCAAAGGTTACTATCCAGGCGTACAATATGTTCATCCACAGAAGTTATGAATTTTTTACGTCAAAAACTCGAAAATTTCCAATCACTAGGCAAACCCTTCACCGCACTTTCTTGAATAGTTCTCAGACAATCTGTATATTTTCTGAAAGCGGAGAACGAGACGGTTTTAACGGTGTCCATCTAGCCGTAAAAGATGTTCATCTACAAAAGCTATGAATTTTTTATGTTAAAAACTCGAAAATGTCCAGAAATCACTACTCACACCGGTCACCAAGCACTTTTTGAAACAGACTCCTCCTTTCCTATACATAAGCAATTCACGTACAAAAATCTCCTTTGCTTAACCTTACCTCGCTGTTGATTTTTTTTCTCGGATTTTGGTGAAGGGGGTCACCTTGGTCCCAGCTCAGGGATGAAGGGGGGAGGGGGGAGAAAATTCTCACACTATCGCACCTGTGTCAACATCATCGGTTGAACAATTATCATATAACTTACTATACCATCGCATATTCTTTCACGTCGGGAAACAAGTCCTTTTATTTCATTCGTAGCTACATCTTAATCGTACCACTGCCTTTCAAGTGTCGTTCCCACTTATTGTGCTGCTTTTCATCATTTTTTACAGAAAGCCGTGGCAAGTATACACCGACTGAAATTGTTAACCAGCCGCTGCCGCCTTGTTCACCGGCAGATCAGTCTACATGTTTTACATGTGGTGGAAACTGCACAGTCTAATTTTTTCAAAGCGACATGCCATTACGATATTCTATTACTGTTATGTTATACAGTATTACCGCTGTTAGTAGTGTTAGCAGGGTTGCAATTCATGACTGTTTTTGAGCGCAAACACTTTTTGTGTTGCCATTTGTTGCCGTCGTCTTTTTGCAATACAAACTGCACTGTATTGATTGTGTGATTGTGTTTTATTCATTTATTTTTTTGATCAGCCATGCTTGCAAAATGATTAGCGAACAATAATAGAAAAAAGGCAGTTCTTCAAATGCAGAAACTCCGAGAGAATTGCAATTTGAAACCATAGGAATATAATAGCAGATTAGAAAACATTACCAAAAGAGGTAAGTAAAAACATAGCATACAATGCAGAGAAACAAACGACACTATCGTTCATTCGTTGACCGTACAGACTGCCGACCGCGTGACGACTGCGACGCGTGCCTTCTAAACTTGCGAAAAAGCAAGTTGGACTGTGGCTTAAGATGAGAAGAATTCTTTGTTTCTTTTCTACATTATAAAGATGAGAAGAATCCTCTGTTTTCTTTCTATTCATCTTTTCTACGAAAACATCATGCACGCGCAGCGGTCGCCGCGCGGTCAGCAGTCGTTACGGTCAACGAATAAACGATACGTAAGTAGGACGATTTGCAAGTTTACGAAATTGAGTTTAAATGTTTCAAAAAGTGTCTCGTACAGTTTGCTGTAATCAGGCATTATCCCGATATTGAAAAACTGAGACTCAGAAATGATTCTAAAGGCCCTTTGTTCCATTGAATTTGTTCTACTTTCAGAGATGTAAACGTCAAGATTTAACAAGTCAATCTTGCATTTTCCTGTTAAAAACTTGAAAGCCGTCAATTAAGACCAGGGTAAAGCGGGGGGTGCGGCACACGACCGTCGGATACGACCCCCCCCCCCTTGGGCCGGACCCTGGCACGACCCTCCCCCCATGCTCTACCCCCCCCCCCCCCCACCCCTACCTTTTCCACGAACCCTCTCTCAACTTGAAGTAATTGCTTTATTTCAACTTGGAAGGAAGAAGTGAAAACGAAGTGAAAATCGCATGGGTGTTCGTCCAGCAACGTACACACGGCAAACGCAAGCCGGCAGCAGAAGACATTCAAACATTACAACATCAACATTCCAACACATTCAACGAATCTTTTAGATGCGAACAATCATCCATCGACATGATGGCTTCAGGACCACCATAGATACTAACGACAATATCAGAAAAAACTCATCAATGCTACGACCGAAATATTCGAAAAACAGAACTCTATAAGAAACTCTTCCAAAAAAGTTTATACCTGTTGCATCCTTTTAATAAAATCCCCATGCTTCTCAAGTTTGTCACTGCGAAAAACAAAACTGAAAATACATAGAGGAAATTGAATAATTTAGATCATGTTTATGTATCTGAGCTTTCGATTCCTTACCGACCTGATGCCATTCAGATAACTGGCGAATCCTTTGCCGTAGAATGCCACCAGGTAGTAGTAGAGAAATGCGCGATCTTTTCTGTCGATCTTTCGATAAAGCTCAGCAATTCCTACCCAAAAAAAGCTCAAAAACGAAGAATTCATCCTGATTACTAACCGCCAATGAGGCTTATCGTAGTCGACATAGGTTTTCTCGTAAACTGGCAGAACTCTCTGAAAATCTCACCAAACCAACTTGAAAAATAAAACAGCCATGGAAGCTGACTCAAGAATTTTTACTGCATCCTCCCAGCTCTCCCCTTTAGCGAACAGATCGGCTGCCTCACATAGTAGGCTATCTCTCAACTGGCGCTCGACGGCACAATGGCAAATCAAACGTCTCCAAATGAGAGACTTGGTCATTCCACTGAAACATCAGAATTCTTTGCAGTTTCAATATGGATCAAAATGCCAAAATGTATGGCCCATTCACACTAAGAGTGTTAGCATTGAGCATCAACATTCAATAAGACCGATGCCATACAGTAGAACTGGCTAGGCATCTCTACCCAATTCTCCAGCACCCACACCTTTCGAGGCAAACAGTCGTTCTTCTCTTTCTTTCAACGTGCTGAATTACAAATTCGCTGTTGACACAGAAATAAAAATTGCAAAATTAGAAAAACAAAAAGTACCCTTCACACTTCAGTCCCAGAGCCATGAGTGCACCCTTTAGCCGGTCAAGGCCCAAACTTTCTAGCTCTTTTGGGTTGCTGTAAGCCGAAATATCAATGGTGGCCTGAACTTTGAAGATAAAACAATTGGAGTGGTGGCAAGAATCTGGCAATTTGAAAATTACGCACCTGCTTGGTGTTGACGGTATGTGATGGCCAACCAGGAAGTGTTCAATTTGCGATCAATCGATCAATTTCAGTATCACTCTGAAGAACGCAAAATTACGGAGGCTACACCAATAGTATCAAGCCTTCAATCCGCACTACCAGCTGGCTACTTTGGCAAAGACTGGATACGCAGAAACCCTTTTCATTCTAAGACACAAAGCATCAACATCGCGAAATTAAAGTCTCAAAAACCAATCCTCACTGGCACTCATCAATGAACCTTTAAATTCAGATCTAGGATTAACTGCATACCTGTATACACAACGAAAATTTCTCAGACGTTGAAGCTAAGCCGAGGTAGAGATTCTACATGAAGTAACCTCCAAGTTGAATTATACTCAAATCATCGACGAATTCGGCCACTGGCCTCAGCTACGATTATATGGGTGACTATTCTCGCTATACTATGCGTACAAATCAAGCAAATTAGAATTGATTACAAAACACGAATTCGTTTGATGAAAGTAGAATGTGGCGCACAAACAACTTCTTGAAACTACCTTCTTGAAATCTTCCTCCAAGTTGTGAAGCGGTCGTGTTCGTTCCATAAAGTAGACGAGGTAGTCCTGACAGTCAACATTTAGTGAGTAATTCATATATGAGTCAACAATACATAATCTGTGACAAAGTATGCGCTGCGTACTGTGTACTTCGGTAATGTCGGAATCTTTTCGATATGTTTTGATGCCTCAGAACCCACTAGTCACGATGAGTGTGTGTGTCGTTCATCCCCCAGTAGATTTCATATAAACCATCAATGTAGATGCCTTTCGATCGCTTTACCACGTTAACTCCAACAAATTTAAGGCACTCATTCGAATATGACATAATAAAATGATCGAAAGACAGCCACGTTAATGGTTCATAGCGCCGATACATAGCCCATCATATAAATAGTGAATGAGGTTATGAACAGAAGCAGTATATGTATCAATAAGCAATCATACAATTTTGAAAAATGTGGATTTCCACAACTTGTCACTGGAAAGTGAGGAAACCTCTGAGAAAAACGATTTGACCTAAGCTACACATATTCGATAATGGTATAGAACTTGAGGGCCCAAAGTTTCAAGAAAATTCAGAATGCATACCTTCACAGCGTGCAGATATTCTTTATAAGCTCCAGTTTTCTTCGTAGTGTTCTTCGGGATATCCGTAAACTTGTCAAACTGGCCAAGGTAGAATATATAATCGATTTTCTGGAAGAAAATGCAGTCAAAAAGTCTATAACTGTCATTTATTCCATAAATGATTCACGCACCGTGATATGTTTCAGATTTATATACAGAGCATGTAGAGAGTGCATATCCAAAAATCTGGAAAAAGGAAGATAATCGGAGGATATCACTATCATGGATGATGAATGAAGTAGTGAAACAGGAATAGTAACTGTCATTGACAAAGAAAATGAGAACAACACAGCCCATAACGAGAGTGGGATTCAAAGACTCGCATCTCGCGGCTTTGTGCTTTGACAAATTTCGAGCGCTACCGTAACCCAATATTTTTTGGCCACACTTCCGAGCATATGGTTCGCAAAAACCATATGTATCTCCTTCTAAAGAAAACGCTTCGAGGGGAAACAGCTACTACGGGGAGAGGAAGGGTGAATCTATAGGATGATATAAAAAAGGCAGCTGTTTGAACGTTTTGAAGGTAAGTTAATGGCCTGCGGCACCCCCCCCCCCCCTCAAAACCTGCGGCAGCCGCAGGTTTTGAGGGGGGGGGGGTGCCGCAGGCCATTAACTATATCAAAAAACATTTTTAGCGGACAATATTTATATGAATCAATAGCCTAAACCTCGTAGATTCCATAGGGATGTTTTGAGCCTGATTCGTCTTCTTAGCTCTGAGTAATATTTGGTGAAAGCACAGCGATCAAAAGCTAAAAGCGATTTTGGTTGGCTTCTAATTCAATAGTTTGGAGGTCTTCTGAAGCGGGATTCCTGAGGTGGACAAAGAAGGAGTAGTGCTTTGTATTGAGTGCAAGAAGAGGTAGCTTACTCACCGCTAAGATGAAGTTAATCATGTTTAAAATTACTGCTTTATACAAGGTTGTTTACTGCTCGGAGACCTCAGAGTTCGCTGAAACTTGGCGCATAGGGGTTATTCGACACGCGGATTACGACAATTATGCTTGATTAGAGGTACGGTAGGTTACGGTAGGCATACGATATCTGCAAGTTTGTGTCGTTGAACTTGAATTTTGCAAGATTTCAGCAGCGTGGCACATCTAAGAACTTAGCTGCAGTCATTTCCCCTTAGAAACCGCTTTTGACCTTGGGTCGATACGACCCCCCCCCCCCCCTACCTACCCCCCCCCCCCCTTACGACCCCCTCCTGCGGCGTGCCGCACCTCCCGCTTTCCCCTGATTAAGACCAACTTTCCTTTGAAGTTGCCTTGGACTCAAAACAAGTTGAACCTTGTAAGTCTCGTAGCAACACATTTTTGAAACGTATTCATATATGTGGGGTCAGTTTCATGCCTGTTTCCGCGACATCTCCTTTGCTCTCTGCTCAAATTTAACTCTGCGTGTTTGGGCCCCATTTAAATCTACACAGTCGGCTGCGCGGGCGGTCGCGTCGCGCACCTACTTTGTGTGCTTGGGTCACGCTTGTTCAGGTCGCGCTCAGGAAAGAACATCTCACTGTCATTCAGGATAGAAGTCATTCAGGAGTGAATGCTTTTCATTCCGAGTTTGATTTCCCTTACTGCACTTGCACCTTCTTTATATTCACCTTTTAACCTCTCGATTACTTGAGCCTGTGCAGGATCTTGGGTTCAGGGTGTGACGCCTCAATTTGACTAGGCATGCACATGACAACCCAAGTGCGTAGAGGTGTCGAATCGGATCCGAAGACTGGATTAGCCCGATGTCTAAGAGGATCAAAGCATTTGAAACTTTAGTATCAAGAAGTTTTCTGCTGTTTCCATATGAGCGCATATTCACTGAAAGTTTTCAATTGCATTCACCTAGCCAACTAATCTGTTAGGATCTGAGTTTGTTTCCATTTGCTTTTTGCTTGGAAATGTTTGCTATGCTATCGTCCATTCTGGGACTTGGATGACGACTATGCTTTGCACACGTCTAACTAAAGAGTTAGTACATGTGCTTCATCTCCCTTTGAATCACTGGGCGTGGCAAGAGTTCCCAAAGCCTAACCGCTTTTCCTCGCAGGGGCACTTTGTACCTCCAGTGGCCGTATTCATCAACGAACCCAATGGGGTTCCGGAATCCATTGGGTTAGTGCTTTTGATAAATATCGATTCTACTCCAGGGTAGAATCGATATTCATCAAAAGACTAACCCAGTGGGCCGGAACCCACTGGGTTCGTTGATAAATACGGCTACAGAAATCCCTTGAAGGACATCACACTTACTCGGGGACATAGGGCGGCTCCGCCCATCACTCTTACCCCTGCACGTCCTCCGAATCACTGTACTTGGAACTCGAAAGACATAGTTCATCAGCTGTTAGAAACATGCGACCGTATTCCTGACTATTTTATTCACAGAGAAGATGATCATACATTCTGAGACTAAAAGACTCGAGCACGCTTTGCATACACTGTCTAAACAAGCTCGACTGTGTGATTATACTTGTGATCTAACTATCTGTTTACTACTCCGAACTAGGGAAGAACAAGTACCTAACTATACAAGTAACAAGTACCAAGTACAAAAGCTTGTTGAGACAATGTGCAACGCGTACTCGAGTTTCCTTTTCAGAATAGATTATACTTATATCTTCGACACAAAACGTGATAACTTCAGGAATGTGCACGTTGTACCAGAGTCAAACGCAAAACACGATGACCCCATCAAAATTAGCGTCCCAGCAACCTAAGCAACGCTAACATGACCAGAGGAGCTTCCTTAAAATGGAGCAAAAAAGACAAAACTAATCAACCCTTTCTCCTATGGTTTTTGAATTGAAAAAAGTTCGTCTGGATAGCGTAGATCTCAAAAGCAAATTGGGCATGCCAAACATCCATTCTTGACTCTTGTAACATGCTATCTGATCTCGTTGGCATAGCCTAAACTTAGATGAGCAAATAACTTAACAAAGAAAATAAGAACAAAATCACACGGCCGGCCGAGAGCTCGGTCCACCATCACTCCATTTTGCTTGCAGATGTATGAACCCTTCACACTCTTCTTCAAGTCGGTGACAGTGTCAAATATAAGAATGCAGCACTATTATCGAAGAAAGCATGAAGTGGTTTTCTGGCATGAGTGTCATCATGATGTGACCCACCAAGCGTGACCCGGTGACAAAAGCTGTGCGCGCGACGCGACCTCCCGCGCAGCCGACTGTGTAGATTTAAATGGGGCCGCGTGTTTGTGCGACTTTTGTGCAGGGCACCGCCCTTAAATCTCGTCTTTTTCGACTGATTCTTCAACTGGGAGAGTACTGCTGTGACCAGATTTTGATATGATGTACAGTATATGCGCTCCAAATTCTCACTCAAGACCGGTGCTCGATATCTGCTGCGCAATTTTTTGTACGATAGTTAGAACTTTCAAGATTATAATCAACAAAACAAAATCGAGATCAGTGAAAACTGTCGGTATCTTTTTGCATTCTGAGACATTATCTTATCAACTGATGTTGACAATTCCGGGAAGTTATTTTGTAGTGCGTAACCAAAATTCTATCGTTTCCCTAATCTGGGTGGAGGACATTAGGTCGCCGAAAGAGGGCGGTCCCCGCGGTCATTTGCGACAAATACGCACCCTTATACATACGCGGACATGCGTTCCTGCAGGGAATTCGCGCGGGACTCTTCCACATTCGGCGACCTAATGTCCTCCACCCCCCTGATCTCCATCGACGCCCTTGATTAAGCCATTTACTCGCTTTTTGCCATTCCCGACCAGAACGTATTTTGCAAAGTGAAAGCTACCTCACGGTTGCGCACAATAATCTTGTCATTAGTTTTGACTAGAACTCCGTGTGTCTTCAAGCATGCGCCCAAATCCCACAAAACTTCATCGTAAATTGCAAAAGTACAGGTTCAAGAATCATACGGCCCACCGCTGGGTCGTAATGACGTGAATGTATTTATTTTAAAAAGCTTTCTTCAAAGACCACAAAGCGAATTCCAAGGGTAGAGTCGGAAGTACTTTATGCATTCAGTTACATACATCTCATACTGAAGAGCAATCACCCTACCTTGTGAAATATTGAGATTTGAATTAGGAGCCTCCTTACTTACTCAAATTACAATTTCTGACGTAGGCGATAGCCCAAAACAGGGGTCAGGTTACCATTTCGGTTTTACTTTCAGCGGATAGTTACTTGACACACTATCAATGCCAAGACTAAAGTAAGCCAAATGTTATGTTCAGGGAAATATGTCGCAGTTTTGGAAATGCGCTCCTGTATTTTTTATGATAGCTTTCCAGTGTTTTATTGTCCTACACTATTATGATGTCGACCTATTCAAATTGACAACTCAGCAAAAATATGTTGGATTTTTATTGAACGACGGTCGTCTGGGGAATCAGGTAACACATTTCAGCTTTTTTGGGGTTGGCGACTATATGTGTTACTGTAATTAGTGACTATTCTAAGGTCTAACACGGGTTGACTATGATTGTAAATTAAATGGCCACATTAGCCACATTTATACCCAGCACAGCATTTGAGCACAATTATCAAATTCAATAAATTTCGTTAGTTTACTCACACATAATGTTGCAGTATCACAAAAAACTATTACTAGAATTTCAAAATTCTTCATGTATTACATAGCACATTATTGACGACATTCAATGGGCTGAGGACAACAGATCGCCTAAGCTTCACCCACGCGGATAGCTGGCACAAGCTATAATACCTGAGAGCGAACTTGTTGCAGATGTCCGCGCGGGTGCTCCCCCTGCGGCGACCTAATTCATTACCTAAAGTTTCTCGAGTGTGTATCTAAAGCTCTCCCTCAAAAAAGTCAAAACAAAGAGGAGCAGTCTTGAACGTAATATTTTGCTGGGAGGTTTATTTGTTGGCCGGTCAAAAGACTTACCCAAAAAAAGCTTGAAATACATGTTTCTTTGATGCTCATGCGACCGGGCAAACTACTTTAGTCTTGAAAGAAATTTTGATTTGGATTCAGGTAACGCCTTACAAATATAGACTTTACAAAAAAATATGCTGGTCTCAGTTTTAGTGCCATATCGTCTATGCACCATTTCGGTGTCACACTTTGAGCGTGCTGTAACCAAGCCAGCGTTTACTTTGGCATTTCACTTGATTCGCGCAATCGTAAACGTAACACGTTGGAGCATATACTCGTACGGTAGCATGTTAATGAAGACATAGGCGTTCTAGATATCGTCCATTTCCCACAATATAGCGGGCGGAGGTTTGCCGACGTTTGCCAACGCCTCTACGTGGCAGTTTTTGATAACTAAAGATTACAATAACTAATGCTTTATAATGGAGATACAGCATGTTTTTTCAATATGTTTATATGTCCGCAGGGGCACGCCCGCTATACGCATGGGAATCGCCTACATCATTTACCCTCCATATCAGCCCATATGTCCTCCCTCAACATGACGTGGACTACTTGGATTGGTGAGGCGCTGCCTCTGAGCTGGCGCATCGTTTGGCACGACGTCTCGCCGTAACACGTATAATCCTTACGCACATAACTCGGAAGACGTTCAACTAGTTCATTTCTGAAGGAATGAAGACGTCCGAGACCTCCGCAGAAGCCGGTTCCCTCTTCCTCCTCCCCTTCCACTTTGTAAAAAACTTTTATGATAAAGGTTATAGTAAAACTAATGTAAAAACATTACACATCAGGTAAGCACGTCATGAACCCCTACCCTGACATAATTCGCGTACTATGTTCACAGTATTTCCAGAAATGATCGAAGATCTCAGTAAAAAACACATCAATGCGTCTAAAATGCTTAATTTATCCAACGCAGTGTAACAAAGTCAGGAAATCTCATAATTTTCACCCATCGAGGAAGGATTCCTTCAAAAATCAACATTTCAAAGCGCTTGGATCAGTCCACTCAATTTCGGACAAGTTTGCCTCAAGAAAACCAACTTTCAAAGATCCCCTGATATTGAAAAGGAGACTCTAAAAGTATAATCAAAAACAGCTATCTGTTAATCTTTTCTATATGAACACAAGTTTTGAAAGAGTTTATGTGCAATGACTCTTCCGCTGTAGCTAAACACATAGTAATACTGAACCTGACCTTAGTACGCTGAATAATAACCTATTCGTTTCTTATGAGCAACGGCAAGATTAACTCCATTACTGATTGATCAAATTTTACTAAGCATTCAATCACTTCAATCCGAACTGATCGAATGCGTAGTAAAATTTGTCTTTCATTGGTACATGAGAATGTTTTACTTATCGCTATCCCGAACGTTGAGGTTATTGATGTTTCATCATATACAAGAAATGCCGAAAAGCTGCTTGTGAATCTTTCCAAGGGGAAATGGACAGACCGCAAAGCAGCCTTCCGTTGCACGGTCACTGGCTTTTGGCTAGTCTTCTCTGTATTCCACTGAATTACAGCAAGGATTGGTACCCTTAATTTTTTTGCGCCATCGTCCCGCTGTAGCTTTTATCATAACTTAGTTGGCATGCAACTCTTGCATGAATTTATGTTTTAGTTATTTCACATGATCACTGGATATGGTATTGCCAGGACATTGAATCGCACTCACTATTTGCCATTCAATGGTTGGATAGAACATGTTAGAAAGTACCTTATCCGCCTTGAGAAGGTATTTCCTCGTTTGAAGCAGACCTATATCTTTGCAACGGTAAGCTTTTAAGTAAGTATCAGTGTTGTAGAATTTCTTTCTTGTTGAGTGTATGTCAACAATTTCTAACGACGAAAGGTTCCCACGTCACTTCGGCTAATCCTGTTAAGGCAGATATCACTGTAATGCTCTTGAAACGCTGACTCCAAATCTGTCGTTTCTAGCTGCAGAACGGTTCTATCAAGGGAGTTATGAGGGTGTGCCTCTCCGAGATAAAGGGTCGATTAACATGATAGATTCTGTCTAGAGAGTATAAAGGAGTACAAAACAATGGCCTGGCAAGAAGGTGACATTATTGATAAGCAAAGAGTCATGGGTTTGATTCGTATGAACGCTATTGCATTATTCGCAATGTAAATTCGAGTTTGTATAGTAAGTTTCAGGTGGAAAAAAAGGTGGAAAAAAATCTAGGTGGAAAAATGGACTGGCGGGAGCCCGTTTCGCAACAATTCGGGCCGCTCTGCAGTCTGCGTCTCTTCATTCTACTCTATCTCGCTGAGCCAGTGGCGGTGCGGAGGCGCTGCTCCACTTGGAATGTTTTGCCTACTCCGGGTTGAAAGAGACTGTAAGCGGATTTTAAGCATTTAAACCTAAATTTGACATACCACAGTAAGAGGCCTAAAAAACTACATCATCACATGGTTCGTACTCTTCTAGCGATTTCTAACATAGACAACTGGACCCTACTTCAATTTTCAGTACGCAACCTGAAACCTTGTTCATGGAGCTTGCTCAAACTTGACTTATGGGGGGGGGGGGCATTCGACATGCGGACATCACTTATTAATTCCATGAAACTGCATCCATGTGCGTTTACAATAACTTTCGGCTTCTCTTTGAACAATATCTACATTTTAGGTTCGAATGCTTGAATCATTTACAAGTTTGGGTTTAAATTTTGCGAAAATGCAGGGGGGTTGTAGGCGGCGGGATTCGATGACCTGCTGCTCATCAAGCAAATCACTACCACTTCGCCAGCCACCACTGCTGAGTGCTTCTGTATTGCCCGTAGACAAGTGTCGTGTTCAGAAAACACTCTCATAACTCCCTCCACAAAACGGCTCCGCAGCTAGAAAGGACAAATTTGGAATCAGCGTTTCAAGCGCTTTGCGGTGATATATACTTTATCAGGATTAACCAAGCTGATTGGGAACTTTTCCTTGTAAGTACAAAGTGATTGTCAGAATGAAACCAAAGAAAGGGTAGTGCCGTTTGCCGGTTCATGCTGTTCCTACTACGATCCATTGAGGTTTACTATCTCCAATGAACCTGATAAAAGTTAGAAATATAGAGATTTTTTTAGGCTGAAAAACCACACCGATCAGTTTCTGCTACTGAACTTTCGATTCGGTCACAATCCTAGGTATTTCGAGGACTACATTGGAGATATACGTGAAATTCTCAACTTCTCCGAGGAATTAAGAGAAAACGCAAGCGATTTACTCCTTTCCTTGAAAAAGTAAGGGTGATACTCGCTTCTATTGACTAATTCATCTCAAAATAACCCTTTGGTTATACTGATTCAATGTGCATACATGTGCGTATGGGAGATTTCATTGAGAGACGTATCTGTACTGATATGAATGTCACTGTGAATGCTGCCAACACAATAGCAAGGAGGATGGTACTATTAAAAATAAGTACAACAACTAGTACTCTATTACTTTGAAGATATTTTTCAGAATATATCACATTTTATGATTTTCGGAGACGATCAGCGATTTATGACTAACATGTCGCATTCCATTGTGATGAATGGCGGGTGGCCAAATGAAGTATGTTTTATCAGTTATTGTCTTGTCGGTAGTTCATATCTTTTTCTAGACAGTAGCCATCTCAACATATGAGGAATCTTTGGATCTGTTTTTGGCCTCTCAAATATGTAGTTCATTCCTAATTACTGCGGCCACATCAACTTTTGGTTGGTGGCTTGCTTTTTTCGTGCAGAACCAAAATGCAGTGTACTACTTGAACGACACTAGGAGGCACGCTGACAAGGTTCCCAGCAAGGAATTGTTTCTGTGAGTCTTTTGGATTGAAAGCAGCGTCCAGGCAAATCTGAACTATGGGGCTCTCACGTGGATAGTAATTTTGGGACCCTAACTAAGCCACTGCTCAACCGGCAGCTCAGGTAGCGCACTAATGGCTGAGATATTTGCTTCGAAACTGAACCACGATATTGTATTTCGCATGGATTCATGGCGCAACCCATCAATTTCGCGCGAGGACGCATGGGTTGCGCCATGAACCCATGCATACGATCGCGGAGTTCAGTTTCAAGGCAAATATCCAGCCATTAGAGCACTATCTGAGGTGCCGCTTGGGCAGTGCCTTAGATAGGGCCCCAAAATCATGATCCGCGTGAGAGCCCCATATGTCCAGATCTGCCTGGACGCTGTTTTTAAGCGTTTGCGCCAGCGCGAGATCAGTACTTATTAGTCTCGTCAAAACTATTTTTGATACTAAATGCTCTGTGACACAATCAGGGACACGACACATATACGACGCCGTGAAAAGGGAAAAGGACGTCAGGTTGCCAAAAGGGAAGGTCCCGCGCGGACATCTGCAATGATCACGCACCTCGTTCAGAAAGGTGCGTGATTATGCCTTCACTCTTGGAGCCTATCGCAACCTAGTGTCGTCTACCCCATGAAAAGGAGCTAATGGTTAGGTCCATCAGCTTCTTTTTCGTATACGATTCACTTCAGTTACACAACCCAAAACAGTTTCATACAATGCAGGAGGAAGTAACAGGGAAGGCAAGTGACCTACAGGGCTTATCCAACGCATGTCGCTTGCATCAGCATCTCCATTCCCGCGCTGGACTCTGCGTCTCTTCCGCGAATATGCTCTCTAATCACTTTCAATCGATGGAGGCTCCGCCTTTCCCACGCTTGCCCTGGGAAAGTGATCAGACGGTATATTCTTGGAAGAGATGCAGAGTCCATCGGGGGCTGGAGATGCTGATGCAAGCGACACTCCGTTTGATAGGCCCTGTTTATGTGTACTTAAAGGCAATGGATCGGCAAAACTTAACAAAGCATGTTATTAACGCAGTAGCTTCCTTGTCGCCCAAGTATGAAAACAGTGCAGTCCCGGCTGCACAGCGTGCCATCCCTGCCGAGAAAACTGCTCTCAAACTTACACGCGCAAGCCAATCTTACCCGCGCCCGGACGAGTTGGCAATTTTCTTCCCACCATTGGAGGCTGCCCGCCGCAATGCTATAACCATTGGGTCCTGCAATGACTCAGCGTCATCAGCCTTGCTTCACTCGTCCAACTTCAAAGGCAAGGGTATTCAAAAACACATGTTTTCGCCGTCTTCAAGCTTTCTAAAGTGGTATTTCGGGATCAGCGTATTGAATAACCCCAGGTAAGCAAAAATTTGACTAGATTGCGATTTGCCGAGCACTGCCTTTAAAAACAGTGCAGATTTTGCATTTTGAACTTTTTGCATATCTTAAGCCTTCTCATGTAGAATTCAAATCCGAGCTTCAAATTGGAATAAAACGACCGTCACTACAGCGTTTATACACTATCCAAAAAGGGAGCTCGGACGAAGGTTTATAAGGAAAGTCGGGCCTTGGCACGAATACATGCCTGTGTAACTATCGCACTGGTTGGCATGCACAGCACAGGAGGGGCCTTGGCGGTCCTGGGCGCTAGGTAAACGGAATCGTTCAACGCGGCGGAGTTGCGGTCGCCGATTCGAGGCAGTTCTCTCAAGGTGTGGGTAACATTATGCAGCCCGGTAGGGCCCGAATGTTAGTGGGGTGACCAGGAATCCCCCACACCTTTATCTCTTGAACTCGAATCTATCGGCACACTGCCTTAAGGCTCCCGCCAGAGTGCCGAAGTTATGCCAGCGCTACACCAGCATTTCGATCGATACATGTGTATTTCGTTGGGGCGGGGCTAGCTGAGGGCTAACGAAATACATGTGTATCGATCGAAATGCTGGCGTAGCGCTGGCATAACTTCGGCACTCTGGCGGGAGCCTAAAGGCAGCGTCTAGGCAGATCTGGACCTATGGAGATTTTACATGGAAAGTACTTTTGGGGCCCTAATTAAGGTACTGTCCAAGCGGCAAAGCAATTAGTGCTCTAGCGGCTGAGATATTCCCCTCGAAACTAGACCCCGCGATCGTATTCGCATGGATTCATGCAGTTTCGCGCCAGGATCCACGCTTTGCGCCATGAATCCATGCGAAATACGATCGCGGGGTCCAGTTTCGAGGGGAATATCTCAGCCGTTACAGCACTATCTGAGCTGCCGGTTGGGCAGTGGCTTAGTTAAGGCCCCAAAATTACTACCTACGTGAGATCCCCATGTGTCCAGACTTGCCTGGACGCTGCCTTTAAGAGTGCTACGCTGTATATATTCGTAAATTTACATATTGTGGAGTTACCGAAATGGTTCAGTGAGAAAAGTTCGATGGCTTTTTGACGCTACGCTAGTCCGGGGCAAGAGGATGGTAATGAGGTCTTTGAGAAGAAAAATTTCCTTGACACTGTCGAAATTTACGATTTCCCTTTCAAGCGCCTGCTGCGCTGTAATATCACGTAAACAAGTTTTACCCACATGACCCGGAACTTTGCTGCTACTTCATTTCTAACAAAAAAAAGTTCAGAACTATGTGATCACTTATTGCATGACTGTTTTCGTAATAAAGCCCGACTCAGCCAATTATATAAAAAGTTTGAGATACGAACAGAAAAGTTTCATGCTCTTTGTTTTCTTGGGGGAGAGAACAGCTGTTCTGTGACCGAATACATCAAAGGAAACCTAGATATAATCCACGATATCGATGTTTACGTAACTAGTGGTTAGCGAACCCGGTAAAGCTTTTTGTGATAGCGGAATCTACTCATTTGCGCCGGATTCGCGAACCCACTGGGTAGGAGGACCCACTGGGTTCTTGATGAGTACGGCCGCTGAATAGGCAGAAAAGTTTCAGTGAATAGGCAGGTTATTCACAACAAAGACTTCAAAAATAGTTAACCCGAAAAGCCGAGGAAATTAAAAAAGCTTTTTTTAATCTCTCCTTATAAAACTTACTGGATTTAATTAACAGATCCTTGAAGATCAAAAGCAAGTTACCTGCGCAAGCTTCTGCTTTCCCAGACAGCAAATGTTTGCAATAATTTGAATGCATTTTTGTGTTTATTTTTTTTCTTTCGAACAAATTTTGCTTCATGAAAGTTACCGAGTCGCCTAAATTTAGGAAGTCGTGGCAGATGTACATCGATGATGACGATGAAAGCGAGCAACCACATTGTTGATATGATTGTGCTACCTCATTTTTCAGCAATTTTTGCAAATTTATTTTTGATCTATACAGTTAGCGGCAATGTGTTCACAATTTAGTAGTAGAATCCCATATTAGTGAAATATATACATGTTGAAATTTCTCTTTGTTCCTCTTCTCCCTTTGTTTGTTTGTTTGTTTGTTTAGTCATCGCCTTTGAAGAATCGTCTCATTTTTACAAAGTTCTAGAACACATTGATTAGCAAAGCATGGTAAAAAAAATTGTGAAGCTTGCCTGGGGAGTGGTTGTGAAGCGGAACGAAGTGTTCGCTGGGATCAAAATTAAATCGCCGTACTCGCAAAGAATTCGGACCCAATCACCATTCTGTAAAAAAAACATCAAAAATGAAGACAAATGCATTTTCAGGAACTAATTTCAATATGACAAAATTTGCTCCTGCACTGCAAGCTAGTCAAAGTCAGAAAAAGGGCTTTGGGGCTTTAAACTCAAATTTGAGACATTTAAATACGATACTAATGGCAAATTAGTGAAGAAGTATGTCAACCAAAATTAGGGGCTAATTTTCTTTTTGAAGTAGAACGGATGCACTCCAAATCAAACGTTGTTACATTTGGCCTTTGATGTTCTAGAAGAAATTCTTCGTACCGTGTCGAGGTCACACTTAGCGATGCATAGTCCGGAATCTAGGAAAATTAGAAAACTATCATTTTTCTCTCTACTTTTTATACGTAGCTTCTACTCCATTCCCCAAACGAAGCCCATTTCTATCTAAATTGTTGGTCCAGGTCCAATGCTTTTTGATTTTTAGCTCTAGCCACATTGCCAAGGTTAATGCTATCATCATCTAAGTTATTTTGCAGACAATTGCGAGAGAGCAATGCTTAAAAAGTTCTATCATTTGCGCTGACGAACAGATAGAAAACAAAAAGGTTCCATTGAGTTTCACGATAAATGAGAAAAGAACAGCAAATATGACAGATAACTAACAGGTCACACAGAACGAGCGAAACACTTGCCTTGTCTGAATTTACTTCTTTTGCAAATTTGAAAACAGCATCGTAAAAATTTTTTCAAAATGCTATTACCTTGTCTTCCACATCGTAATATGCACTGCCTTCGATAATCATTCTTGCTTGATCGTTGGGATAGTTTGATTCCTCGAAAAGTTCGTCGATCTGCAGAAAACGGTTTGCAACGTTTTGATTAGAATATAAAAATAATAAACTGTACCTTATCTCTAAAATTCGCTGTTGTCTCAGCATCCAAAGTGAATACGTCTTCCTTATTGAAATGACGCTCCATTTTCAATACTTTAAGACGCTTTGAAAGGGACACTGCATCTAGTGTGTCTAGCTAAAAGTTTACACTTTCTTGCAAAAGTTAAGAGATACAAAGAAAAAGTGATGTACCTTATAATAGAGGGTACCCGTTCTCCTCGTTAACTCGTCCGGTGTGATGATCTTTGGCGGGAAGACATGATGAGGTAATCGAGGATCACCGCAAGGATACGGTTCCATCTGCCAGATCTGCACCATCTTCTGCAAAGAAAAGCCGAAATAAACTGTTGGAACAAATTTGGACAAGAGTCGATTATGTGAATGTAACACGGTATATCCTGACTGCGGCCAACATTTTTTGAAAATAGACCTACTGTAAACATCGAAAGAGATACGTAACAAATTAATTTGTTTAAAAAAACTTTTTCAATAATAGCACAGTTGTATAAAACAATTATAAAGGCTGTCAAGCTTTCAAAGTGAGGAGTTTAGAATAAATTATTATGAGAATATGAAGAACATAAATGAGCGATACTGCAACGAGGGCCACTGATTCATTTATTTGCTTTTTAATTCTTTATTTTTTGAACAACGTATGTTATGAATTCCTATCAAAAGATTCCTGCTGACTGGCAGTGAAATTGAACACCTTCAGAAGTTTATAGTTTGTGATTTTGATTTTTGATTTTGTTTGCTACGTAGATTGGTTGTAGAATATTTTTTATGAAAATGCTATTATTGCTGCTTGCCACCAAGACTTTTTTAAGGAAAATATATGCGGTATTTAAGACATGGTACAGTTCAAGTAGAGAAATTGTAGATGAATAAGGTTCTTTTCACATGCTGGAACAATTTCTTCAAAGGATGTTGAAGAAGGAAAAGATCTGAGTATCACTTTAGCAGTTAGAGGGTAGGTAGGATGAATAAGTGGTATGCATTAAGTACGAATACTTCAAAAAGAAAGTAAGAAAGTACTCGAAAGGTAAGCCACAGTTCCCGATGCTGTCCTTAATCCCCAAAAAATATGTGTGCAACGTTAATGCACTAACCCCCGAACTGAATATCTCGAACTGTGGTGCCTATGGCATTGCGGTTTACAGTGGTTTGATGTGTGATAGGGCGGGACCTTGCCCATTTAAGGCGAGACCAAACGCTGTAAATAAAACTGAGGCCCATGTGTGTGTGTGACAGGTATGTGTTGTCTCTCTCTCTCTCTCTATCAGTGAAACTCTACCAAGACATGTAATGAATGACTCTAGCAAAGTTTTGTCCGTTCATTTATTATGGTAGAGGTACTGGAACGTTTGAAAACGAACATCGAACTGTGACGTCGTCAGGACGAGTATCTGATGCAATCGGTTTGCAAAATGGAGAACTGGCAGAGGTGTACCTGGAGAGCGAGGGGGAGGGTGGGGAGTATTGACGTCACGTGGTACCATTATTTCTCAATATTGCATACTGCAGCTTTATTATGGCATAGAGAAGTTTCTAACGGGAAAGAACCAACTTATTCGGAAAACATTGTAAAATTCAAACTCTGCAAAAGGTTTGGCGAGTTTTGCCAAGGAGTTGGGTGGCGGAACTTTCTCTCCAGACTCCTTAAATACCAACAACTCCTGCAGGAAGTTCGAATCAATTCCGAAAAAGACTCTTATTTTGCTGCAAGAAAATGAGCGAAACAACAATCATTTGCAGACGCACAAAATTAAATCATCCGTTTATGACAGGTTAACCTGCAAGGTCTAATTTGCAATTTGGAGAGACTATGTCGGGAATGTTATTATAGTGTCAAGTTGATTTTCAAGAAAATGGCAAGTGTTCTCATAGAATAATGGAGCTCAAAAGCATATGTCAAAATGCCCCAAACAAAAAAAAATCAAGCATGGAATTAGATATTTATAATTCACATTTCACTTTTAAGCAATATGGTCATTGCCTGGCAACTCGCCACGATTCCTTTCTACATGGACCAATGCAAGTAAACATAACCCAGTTCCATATATCGGATAAATGGTCCATGCGCAACATTTGGTTTATTGCATATTTAGCAAGTTAGCTTCTCCCATGTTTTGTCTCTTCACGTTATATTTTTTTAGAAAGTTGATTGGGCAGGATAAGAGGAGTCGAGCGCGAGTTGGAAACGTAGATTATGAAATTGTTTTCAAATGTAAATTTTGCAATGCTAAAAATTCTTACTATTAGGTTAGTCCATAAGCCTTACAGAAAAAGAAAAATTCTTTTGAATTGAAAAAAAAAACGCTCTCATATTAAATACTTTCTGCAACACACAATAAATATTTTATCTCACTAGTACGTATAGGGATTTCTAAGGAACAAAACCGAGAAGTCGGCTAAAAAAAGCGAAAACCATAACTATTCGTTAACTTTGATCAAAAAAATTCTCCTAGCAAAAGTATGAGGAGAACCACAAAGAAGGCTGGGATTGAATTTTTACGTCTTGCAATATTCTTGAAGACGAAATTTGAGAGAATACGATTTGATTTTTTTCTTATTGACAACTTTAGCTCCATCTTCTACCCATATGGATTTTTGCTTGGAGCGCGGTATATACTACTTCTTCATTCTAAACAAAGTTCGGCACGAGGCGGCTTTTGGAAAATGCAAAAACGATGTCCCCGTTGACTTTCAGGATTTTTTTGCGAAGTCCCCTTTGACGCTAAATCCTAGACGTTAGAAAAAACCCTCAAGAAAGGAAACGTCAACTAAAAAAAACACAATTTTTGTCTTTTCGGTTTAAAAAACGACCCTTGGCTTTTTGTCCCAAAAACGATATTCAGCTTGCTTACAAGCCACCTGTGCCGAGCCCTGATTCTAATCAAGCGATTTTTTTGAAACGGAAAAGAATTACGATTTTGCAAGGATTTTGTGCAGGAGTTATGGACCAACCTAATAAAATCACTGTCAAAATATGCACTCAGATCAGTTATTCTACATTCCTTTGCATAAATTTTTCAAAATCTGTTGGCATTTCGAAAAATAGGGTCTTTCAAAAATTTTATGCAAGATTTATGGACCAAGATTGTGAGTGTTCTTCGATTTAAGGCTGGAGTTCACTGTAAAAAAACGGAGGTATATGATTTGTTCCACCGTTTTTTTTTCTGGCCAAAAATCTTTTACTAATAGTGATCAAGTATGCATTCGTCATTGTTTTCCAACGGGTGATTTCTCTTAACTGCGCTGATGCCCTTGGAAACCAGTTTCGCGTCAAGCAAATGAAACGATCGTGCCATGAAAGCGAGAAGAACACCCAACATTGCGTGCGGTTTCCGCCAACGGTATATGTGGAATGACAGCTTTACTATGTGATATCTCGAGAAAATTTCTCTGTAAAACTTTTTTTAAAGGAAAACTGATTGCCTGAAAACTGCAAATTTGTAGAGGATAAAAAGTTAATGTGACAAAAAACAGGCTCATATTGGATAGTCTAGAATTTTGTATTGCTTTCACTTTTAACTCAGTCATATTCTTCCCGCTCTCCAAATAGCTTTTGCTGTATTTTTCAACGGATTAAAGAAAGCTCTACAAGGTAAGATATAGGCATTTGTGAAAGTTTGTTCCACATGAAGTTAGAAGTCAAAATCTATAAATAGCTGAATGCTCCAAAAATTGAAAAGCATTATATTTCCGTTCTGAAAAATTCAGGGAAACTTCTTACATGCTCAAGCGTTACTCTTCTCATCAGATACATACAAATTTGCTGCTTATTCTATTTCTTAACCCATTCTCGACGATGTGGACCACCGGTTGCGCACACCTGTTGCAAAGTCACGTTATCTGTAGGTCTAGTATTTCTTCCAATGTCAATATTTTTTCCATTTTTTTGCACTAATGGGGCCTCTAGACTCAATCGTTCAAGAAAATGTTTATGATTGCTACAAGACAACATTGCATTTTTTGAATAACCACAATACCTTCCCTCACTGAAAGTGTTCTGCAAAATCGCGTCGTCCCACAGCGCCGCCACGCAAAATTAGGCTTCGTCGTCAATGGGTAAATTAAGAGGCACAATTGGATCATACTAGGCCAAAATGCGGGAATATTTCTGGGGTTGGATGAATTCCAAATTTTTTTAAGTTTTTCTCTTAGAGTTTCACAGTAGCAAAAGGCTGGAAATCCATGATTATACTTTCAGAAAAAATTTTTTTCTTTGGTTTTTTGGGTGTCTGGGTGCTTTAAAGTCCTCGTTTCGAACATTATATGGAGCAGATGCGCAGTATCTGCTACTACCTCGTGACCTTTTTTTGCTCTAGGTAAATGATATTTCAAAACTTAAATTAGGAGTTAAGGGGATATAAACGATATAAAATTATGAGACAATACTTTGGCATAGAAAAACAACCAGCCCCAAAATTTTCTTCCCTTTTATTTCTCACCGGGCTAGGTTTAGACGGGACAAAACTTGAGGAGATGATTAATGTCCTAATATTTTTGAAAATGTCTAGAAATCTGCACCCTTAGCAAATTTAGATTCATGATTTTAGACCATGTATTTCCGACAGTCCTATTTCAAACATGTTTACTTTTTCAAACAAAACATGCTTTAATTCCATTGTAATCTATAAAAAGCCCGTAACAGTGGAACGTGCACCGTTTGCATATGTGGAACTGACTACACAAAACCACTTTGATGATCATTCCAAAGGCGAAACTACTTCAGCAAAACGGCGAGCTCATCATTGTAACACAGCCTCGGTTACAAAGGTCGTTGAAGTAAAAAAAAACTGTCATAGACGAGTTTATGTTGTTTTGCAGATGAAATGTTGTACATCGTCTGCTAACGTCTATGAATGCCTTTTGCAAAACTTCGTAAACGTTGAACGGAGAAGAAAACGAGAACGAGAAGAAGTGAAAGCGAGAGTAGAAGAAGTTTGACTTTAAGGAGCTGCGAACTTTTTACTCTACTTATATACAACGATAAGTAACTGCATTCAGAGACGGAAGTTTGATAAACATTCCGTTCCGCCGTCTGACGCGCGGCTAGTGGCACCGTTTAACGCGATGATAGCTTAACAACAAGCTACGCATAAAGAGTTTGGGGCTTTCACTTTCAAACGGCCAGAAAAGTGTAGCTATTACAATTCAAGAGTTTTTGTTTGTTGATAGAATTAGTGTAATTACGGTTGGAAGTGTTTGTAGCATAACATAACGCTTTTGTCGAGCACAACAAGGCAGAGGTGTGAAATTGTTTGGTTACATTTTATTGTTTGATAATTGAAGGCAATGTTCAGGCGAATTTTGCATT